AGATCTAGTAACAGCAGAAGTAGTTGAAGCACTAACAGTAACAGGAGTAGTTTCTGCCTTTTTACGTTTGTTTGCAATCTTATAGATCTCATTGACTAGATATACAGATAGTTCTTAATTCTTCACATCTTCTCTGTATTCCATACATTAACTTTGAGAATATAAAGCAACTGACCAGAACACGAAATAAAGAATAAGTGTACAACACAAGAGCAGCTCTTTCAAGATTATAAGTATCATCTGTTGATCTACCTTTATTCTGTTGATAATAAAGCCAAAAGAATACTCCAGCAGTAGTAGCAAGCAGCGTAAACCCAATGATGAACCATGTTACATAATGACACAACCGTTCACCTTGCAGTGGTGTGTTAGTACGCTCATCTTCTGTACTAAAGAAACTAAATCTAGACCTTTCCTTTGTTTCCGCTATTTTCTCGTTATAAAGTGTTTCTATTGGATCTGTTTCTATTAAATCACTGTCTTTAGTTTCATCATTAAAAGGATCCAATGGTAGTTCATTTTCATTACCGCTCTCCACACCACAGCATTTCTCTTTAAAGTAATTCAATATTCCTAACAGGCACTTATTAAAACTTTTATAGTGTTTAATATACAGGCACCACAGTGCCCATATGAACAATAAATGAGATACAGCATTGGCTGTTGTTGAGAATAGCAGTGATATCTTACTGAGATCATCAAACTCTTGAATCAGTGGTTTAGTAGTTTTATTGTCAACATTATTGTCTATAAAGAAGGGAATTTATTTTTTAATGCTAGATCTATCTTACCTGGTTTAATGTCTCTCAGTGCAAGTTGTGGTAGCTCATTCTCAGTTATAGTCTCATTATAATTGAAGTACAGTGTGTAGCATATTGAGGAGTAGTCATAGGAACATGTAGCCCAACCATAGATAATAGAGTATAAAGGGATTGGTAACTGCGTAGGCGGTAGTTATCACCGTATAGATTCAAATTTTCCGCATTCAATAATTACAATGCAAAAGTCAAAGGAGAAGAGCCAAATTTTGCCAGAGAATGACAGGTTTATAGGATTTCAAAAGAACGTATCAATACCATTACTAGCCAGTTCACTAAAGCAATATGCTACCTGTTGCATGTGTTTCTTTCGTAGCTTAAATATTTACTGTTTCGGAGAAAAAGGTACAGAAACTTTGTCACTTTTACAACACAAAATTTGAGTTTCTGGAGAAGATGTACGAACTACAAGTCTGAGAATACCCTAGTTCCACGCAACTCAAAGCGCTTGATTGTTCTATGCTTGCTACTTTGTTGTAAAACAAGAGACATTTTAGTAAAAGGTACAGAACATCAGAAAAGAGGTCCCGCTTGACACCCGCTGATAGTAATGAATGAAACAGTTTGTTACTTTTGAGTAACTGTATGAAACTTGGATTGATAAATATAGAAGTTATAAGGTATTTTATGCATATTTTTGTTGATTTTTTGCAACTACTGGGACTGAGTTATGAACAGAGAAAAGTGGACCTCTCCCGTTGCTAAGGAGAAACTAGGATGCGGGAAGTGATAACTTCGCCCTCCATTGGTTTATACAGGCCGCCCACGCAGTTTCCAATCCCTTTATACTCTATTATCTATGAGCCCAACCAATGATATACATTACAAGAGGAAATATGTTGATAGAGAGAGCTGGGATAACTATGCAGATCATTATTATACTTAGCAAACAGCATATAAATTCAAAAATAATTTGTATGGATTCGATGCGACTCTATAGCTGGACCCGCAAAACATTACCACATGAGTTTGATAGCTCTCTTCTTGGTCTTATCCATTGTAAGGTTACAACACTCATCAAAGTAAAAATAAATAGAAATATCCATTTTGTCATAAATTCTACAACAATGAAAGAATAAAAGTGTTAACACTCTAACAATCACTAGCCTTACTTCTTAGACAGTTGCTTATTTCTGTTATATCATTGTTTAGAATACTGATAATTGACATAATGCAGAAGCTTGACAGCAGCCCTAGATACAAAACAGCAGGTACAAAAAGGGGTGAGCCAAGGAGTGATAAAAAAAGGATCTAATACTATAGTCAGTGTATGCTGTAGCTATAGATATGTGATATGCAGTGATAGTAATCTCTTGTGGTGGAACAAGACTAACAATGAAACTTAATAGTAGCTACAACCCTTCATGCTCAGTATCTAAATATAGCAGCAACAGCAGATTAAAGCAGCATAGTAATAATAAGATAGCAGCAAGATTAATAATAATAGTAAAAGCACAGCAATAAACAATAACAATAATAGCAATATAAAACAATCTAGCTAAGCAAAACTAAAACAAAGCAGCAATAGTAAAAGCTAATAGTAAAGGAAACACGAGGTTAAAGGAGCTGTTTTTAGCTAGTAACACTAGATCTATTTGTTAAACTAACTACAATACCAACGAAACCAAAGGCAATAGACAAATAAGCAATGTTCAAGTTAAAAGTTATACTAGCACACATTATACGGAACCTGAATTCAAACTTCTATCTCTTTATAGAGCCAATAAACTCTGGTATTACGTCTTGTACATACAGTACAAGATGGCAGATAGCATAAATTCGCAAAAATTATATCCGCAAAATAGATTTTTAGGCAAATTTGCGAAATTTACAGCTCTCAAAAAAGGCTCTCTGTGGTAAAAGATATAATAATAATACTTGATTATTAGACTCTATATGACAAACAACTACATGTACTTGGTAAAAAGTACTTACAGTAGTCAGTACAACCCATTATCAAATACTGGAAAAAGCATTATCTACCATCATGTTATACTACAGACTTACACATGATTATAGTGAACAACGGGTCAGTGTGGGCTGACATTGAGGGAATGTGATTATGTTGTGATTATGATAATAATGGTAGATTATCAAAAACTACATCCATTAAGTTCTGAGCCTGCTCAGTTGTACAATCATCATCATGCATGAGTATTGTTAGTTTGTCAAGATCTATTGTATGTACATTGCTTTGCTTGCTGAGGCTCGCCCCTTCAATGTTTTACATTCGTCTAGTTACTAATAAAATTATCAGTAGTATATACAGTGTTTATAGTATCTAATAATAGT